GAGAGGAATAGCCGAATGGCTAACTGATGTCAGCCCCCTCACCACACGTAAAGGAGTCGATGACTTCTTGTCTACCAGACTGAGTGTCCTAGGACACGTTCGCGATGCGATGACTGAAAACCAAGACCTGAAGAAACAATATGCAGATGAAAAAGGAAGCGGTAAAGTGGAGAGCTCCAAGGTCGGGGATCTGAGTATATTAAATTCAAAAAGCCTGCCTACACATGCAGCCTCTGCTATCTTCCGGACGAAGCTTCATCCGCGGTTTATCGGATCGTTTAAGGTTGTGGCCAACCGGGGCCTAGCGTATACACTGAGCCTTCCAAAAAGGATGTGCACCCACACGATGTTTTACGTGGGCTTGCTCTTGCCGTACCGGGATCCGGCGCAAGTGAACGCGGAAGCGTTGGCGCTGGAGCGGACCCACGGGCCCGCGGCCACCCAGAAAATGAACGCAAATAGTTCTGAGCACGAAGTGCAACAATCTCTATTTCCAAAGGGGCCAAGTGCACCACCGTTGCCTGCAGCGATGCATTTGACTGATCCACGGCTAGGAGTCGCTCTGATGGAGTGCGGTAGTCCTCAAGGCGAGGCAACCGGCGCACGACGTGCTTTAAATCGTCAAGAGCGTCCGCACAGCGATATGCTACTTCAGCATGGCGCTCAGCGGAGCTCTGATCACGACGGACCTCGTCCTCAAGGGCTCGAAGAGCATCACGAGTCACCGGGCGGTGGTCGACCCGTTCGTCACCGCCCACCACCGACTCTTCATGATGAGAACGGTGACGTCCACTATCACGTGGAACGTCTGGTAAGACGGCGTCGGCACCAGTTGACACAGGGCTCATTGAGCACGGAAGTCGTTTATTCCAGCGAAATAAGTTGCAGTGTCTGTGGACACGCGAGCCTCGTTGAGGCAATAATCGATTGGAGCTGTAAATGTTCTCAATCTAAATGGGGGGGAGTGTAACGGGGTTACACGTACCCTAGTAACAAGTGCGTTTGTCACACGAGATATGCATGTTGTGACTGCACTCAAACAAGAAAACGGTATGTGGCTAGGTAGCCAGAAGTTTTAAATTTTTCAATAAATTTAGGAAAATTCAAACACCTTATAATTAGGCGGCTTTGCCGCAGATAAAAATCAATAAAAGGGAGAATAAAAAAATGCCCCAACTTTTGCCATATATATAAAAAATATCCCAACTTCTGCCATATATATAAAAAATATTCCAACTTTTCAAAAAATATAAAAAATACCCCAGCACGTAAATTATCACCGGGGAGCCG